TTTTTTATTGTCTATAGATATAGAAATAAATGTACAATTAATGGCCATGGTGACAAATTTCACACAGTGAATTTTGGCCTATTTTTTTATTATATGAACAAAACCACTCATGATCTCTGGAAAACATACAATTTTAGGTAATTTACTTAGTTTTTGATAACTTCCTTTCTGTATAAAGGCAAACATTAATGAATGCTAGATCATCACCCTTCAAATGTCTTTAGAAAAAGAGATTGTTAACCATCTTAAAATTATTTCTGTAAACAATAGAAGATCTTCTCTAAAATAAGTAGAAAATCTAGTCTGATTAGGTGTTTTTATTCTAATGTATTTAATATATAGAAAGAAGGGGTATTAGCCATTACAGGTCGCTGTTGACCTCTTGTGGTCCCATTCTGTGGTTACAGGAGAACTCTAAGGCCAGCCAGGAGTTGGACATCGATGCTCCTTGTGGGTCCCTTCCAACTCAGGATAGTCTATAATTCTGTAGTTCTCTGATAGCCAGGAGATCCCTGGAATTCTCCCCTAAACCTTAAAAAGAACAAACCCAATATTATAGCTGCAGCATAAGAGTGGCGTATAAATCAAATTATTATTTAGAACAGCTTCTTTCCTGTGGAGGGGCCTAAATGCTGATTTAGCAATTATTAATTATCAATTCATTTATAAATTTATCAATTCTTAACAATTGTGTTTAAATTCATTCAATACTAAATAAAAAAAGGTCTCTCACTGCCAGCAGCCAGCTGTTTCTTTCCCAAAATGGAAAAGAACAAAAACTATTAAAAAAAAATTGAAAAGGATACAATACAACACGATGTTCTTCTTCTCTATTAAGTATTCAGCTAACTAAGGAGTAACAATTAGCAGCAGGAGAAAAGGCAATCAGTGATGTGCTGGGTAATTACTGTGGCCCAGGTCTCATCTGGAGAGCAGGGAGCCCAACAAGGATTGGTGCACTGCTTCCAGAAATCTGACTGGAGTTCTGCTGGGTCAACTTCACCCCAGCAGCCAGGCAAACACAGACAATCCATTATTTACTTATCACTGGTATTAATATGTGTTTGAATGTGTTCATCTCTTGGAACAAAGCTTGTGAGGGTCAGTGCTTTGTTTTGGAAAGGAATGAGGAGAGGAGGAAGATGAAAAATAAAAGAATGAAGATACAGATTACTTTCAGCACTGATAAATCAGAATTTAGGCCATTCCACAGGAAAGAAGTTGTTCTGAACAATTGCTCCCTCTGGAAGCTCTACAAGTTCTTAAGTTTCTGTGTTAGTGAAAGATTATCTGATAAAAATTCAATCTCTATATTCAAGTGAAAAAAATTGTTCAGAAACTCACCCTGGCATATTGCCTCACAAAGAAAACCAAACCCAGATATGCTAATAAACATCTGAAAGAAAGCAGCACAGTTCTCATTGTTACTAAGAAAAATAAACAGAGCAGAAGCCCCCTCCATCTCAGTAAAAGCAATTGGAATATTAGTGAGAAAGCAAAATTCTATTGAGCTACACATATTTGTGAAGAAGATTTAAACTTGCACTTTTATGCTAAGCATGAACAAGGAAAACTGTAGGTGATCCCATGGGGTTTTTCCTCCCTGCAATTTCATGTTCCTGCTACCTATAAAGATGTAGCAATCCAACATATATGAAAACATAGGTGTTCCTCTAAAAGCAAAGGAATATTCACTTCAATTGTGAAAATAAGAAATTAAAAATGAATAGATGCTGTTGTGTCTGATATCCCTGTTTTATCTTCTGGCATGTGTCACATTTCCTTTGGTCCACCAGAATTTCAGCAGCCACACAGCACCGGGTTCAACCAGCTGTGCCCTCTCTGCCACTCCAGGCTGCAGAGCAGCCCCCAGCCGGTTTTCCCTGGCAGGGAGGGTCAATGGGCAAACAGGAACCCTCTCCTTAGGAAATGAACATAACCCTAACCCGACTCCAGAAAATCGAGCTGTGCTAATTCACAGAAATGCCACGAGGTGGCAAGTTAGGATTGTGTTAAGCCCTTTTACTCTCACAACCAACGGCAGCGAGGGAAAAACTCAAACTGCAATCACTGGGATGGGAAAGGTGAGTTCATAAGAAGCATTTATGCCTTCTAAAGTTCATATCAAAACCAAAAAGAGTTTTGAGTAATAACTATCATTTTGGAATTATTGTCTTTCTGTCTTTAAACTCAGCAGGATCCTCTCACACACTTCTCCATGGAAAGGGTTGTCAAGCCCTGGAACAGGCTTCCAGGAAGGTGGTGAAGTCTCCATCCCTGGAAGTGTTCAAAAACCGTGTGGATCTGGCAGCTGAGGACATGGTTCAGTGGTGAGCATGGTGACAGTGCTGATGGTTGGTGATCCCAGAGGTCTTTTCCAACCTTAATGATTCTGTAATTCTGTTTTCCTCGGTAGCTTCTGTTTTGTTTTAAATAATAGCAAAAAATAAAGAACCTCATATCACAATTTTTAAATATGTAATTTATATATATATATATATATATATATATATATATATAT